TGAAATGACCCTTTGTTTTTCCCATAAAATATAAAGATTATATAGGGAAATACAACTGGTCAGTTTTGACCCATTTACGAAGTTTTCCCAAAATTGCCGAGTTTTTTTGACACCCCTAGGTGTTCTCCTACCACCTCACAAAATATCAAGGGGGTCGTTCGGCAAGAAATTTTTTTTGTTATATAGCTCAAATAAGTAGATTTTCACTCGTGGTCATGCTTTAGTCCTCGTCGATGTCTTTGAGTCAGACTGACAGTTTTCCCTAAAGGTCAATCCATTTACCTAGGAGCATGCAAAACATTAGCCAAATATACTAAGTTTAGTACCCTAAAATCCGCGTTGAAATGACCCTCTGTTTTTTTCCCTTAAAATACAAAGATTAAATAGGGAAATACAAATGGTCAGTTTTGACCATTTTCAGATTTTTCCCGGACATGCCGAGTTTTTTTATGACACCCCTAGGCGTTCCTCTACCACCTCACAAAATATCATGGGGGAGTCGTTCGGCAAAAGTTTTTTCCTTATATAGCCCACATCAGGCGCCGGTCAGTCGAGGTCAGTTTTGACCCCATTCCGTGGACTTTTCGGTCAACCGTCACCGGCCCTCGTATTCTATTGCCCCAAGGCATCATCGTGCCAAATTTGACGTCCCTGCGGCGCCGGGAAGTGCCACTTTTCTTTATATATATATATATATATATATATATATATATATATATATATATATATATATATATATATATATATATATATATATGTACATTTTTATATATTCCGTGTGTTTAAATCGTGATAATATAAAGAATGGGAAAACACATACCTCCGTATATTTCACACATTTTCCATCTAGTTGAGCATTCGTTGCTTTTACTTTAACAGACGATATCAAGATTGTTGGAGTGGATATTGTATAAAGTGGTAGGTTAACATTTGATCTGTCCTGGTGCTCACCTACCACTTTATTTTTGTCGTCAAACATTTCAAGTTTAAACTGCCGCAGTCGATCTCATGAGAAAATACATATTATTTTATAAGGTGGTTCTAATAAATAAATCATTTTTTAAAGAGAAAAAAACCTGAATAAGTTTCTGTATGATAATTAGTAAAAACTGTTGTATTTTGGGGTCCATAATGAACTATATTCTATCATGAAATCATGATCTTGGCATTTTTCTACGAACATCAGCTATAATCCTACTGTATGACCTAACCTTGAACCTAACGCTAGCTGTAAAGTATTAAAAAGTTCAACAGTCTTTATTGACTAAGTAGGAAGATATAAACAAACAAAAAAGGAGCAAGGAGAATAGAATTATATGCAGAAAAAGTTAAAATATAAATATTCACACAAGCACCTACGATAAAATTAAAGTCACCTAAAAACATGGTTATATCTTTGTGCTGATCGAGTCGAGATATATCTGGACTAGTTATATTAAATTGAAATAGAAAAGAAAGTAGAAATACATTGAATATGCCAAACCTGTAGCTAAATATTCATTTTAATAAATTATTATAAAACATCTCTATTATTTAAAAAATTATGTAACCGCCTAACAAAGTTTTACTTAATCAAGGGAACACTAATTTTTCTGACACCCCATAGTTCGGTCTAGGACATCATACGTTTTCATGTAGGCCTATAGTCTTTGTTAATGATATAATCAATTGCGGCCAATTTCAATCACTTGATAAGGTGAGTCTGACTTAAATAAACACATACATACATCTGAGCATTTATCACTGATGATGGTGGGGTATGGTTGAGTTAGATAGAGCATTTTTACTGGTAATGGTGACCCGCACGGATTAAACGTTGATGAGGTAACGTTTTTTATTAATTTTTTTTCAGTATTTTACATGTTTTATTTACAATAGAGTTACATGACTAAAAACCATTGCGCGCTTAGCTACCGAACGTGATGTCGCAGCCAATGAACGTGATGGCGCAGCTATTGAACGTGATGACGCGTGTGGTGTGGTTGGATAAAAATGCCTACTAATTCGGTCCAAATTTTAATTAATTAAAAAAAAATTGTGACCGAACGGAAGGATATTTTTGAAAATTTTCTTCGGCAATATTGTTCTAAATAATGGCAGGAATCGATTGGTACATGTTTCAAGTCGCTAATAGGTCTGGTGGCCGAGATATGGGCATTTTTTCGAGTTTTTTTGGCTTTTCCGGGAAATCCAGGAAGGAATTCCGGGAATTTTTTTGGCCCACAATCATCCTCGGAACTTGCTTAACATATTTGCTTTGGAACTAGTCCTCGATATTGCTTCGTTGAGGAGGAGATACGACTTAAAGCTGCGGACACACATTCATTCATTCATCCATCCATCCATCCATCCAGAAATGACGGGTTAATAAACGCAATTCTCCAGAATGGAAATTGCGCTAAAAACTGACGATTACAAGAATGTTTGTACCTTTTGGAATTTTGGCGCCGGGGATATTATTAACGCAAAAAAAAACCGAATCAAAAAGTAAAACTAAAAGAAATAATATAAAGATATGAATACGACGTTTCACATTTTGTCAGTGTTTTGAGTGATCATAAGCAGCGTGTAAACTATATATATTAGGAGTTATGGTAACTAATTTTGCCTGTCAGTTTTTCTTATGTTCAACTATAGACTACTATAACAATGTAATAATTGTTGGAATATGCAATGTTTTTTGCGCGTGTATTTAAGCTTATCGTATAACCCTAATTCTATAAAATAATATGATGGAGTAGTAACGTAAAATTTAAGACATATGTTCCTCTATAGTTTGACTCACCGAATGGTTTAGTATTAGGTATCTTATCCAAATGTTTTCCTGGGGGTAGTGTATCTTGACAGAGCTGCCAATGCTAAAAAAAGGTTTTTGTTTCTGGACTTGATTTAACAAGACGATTGTTGATTGAGGAAGTAGAATGTGTTTGTTTTCTTAAATGACATGATGTTTTCAAAGTTAATTGATGTGAGTAGAGAAGGGACATGATCATCATGTACGAAACACCACACACTGCGACGCATCGTTAATAACTCGTACCTTTTAAAATTAAAACGATTGAATAGCTATTCTAATGTATAACAGCCGTCCAACGCTACACACTTTAAAATGTACAAGATTCACGTACTTATAATACACAAACTTTGACATGACGTTTGTATTTAGAATTTGTTTCTTCAACCCGGGTTGTGTTTAGTCGTGTTGTGTCATGCGGGTTAGCGTGACTTAAGTTTTTATCACGAACCTTGGCAAGACTGAAAGGCTACGATACGCCGTGTAACGGGTGCAGGTTGATAAGAGAGGGTCTGTACCTCACACAAGAGAGAGTGTTTGAATCTTTTGATATGGGCCGCTTAGAACTGTGGGGCGGGGTAGGGTGCAGTAGATAATTTACAGCCTTGATGGAAGGAAAAACATGGTTGGTTTAAGGGTTGTAGCGTGGGTACTTTAGAGGCTAGTTAGTCGTGCAGGAAGGTACTAGGCGATACACCAGTATGAGATAAAAGTACTACACGACACAACAGTATGATATAAAGGTACTATACGACACAATCGTATGAGATACAGGTACTACAGAACAGATTATTATGAGATAAAGGTACTACATGACACAACAGTATGAGATAAAGGTACTACACGACACACCTGTATGAGATAAGATTTGAGTTTATAAGTTCGGTAGTGGGGTGGGGGAACGTGAGTGACACAAACGGCTGTTCAATGCTCCGATCAAAGATACAATTTATATAGCTGAACCATGTTTTTAGTTTTCTATTTTCATTGACTTTTGAGATTTGTTTAAATTCTTAAATGACCCGTTTGTGTTGGTAAAGTTATCGGTTTACGACAGTCACTACTACAGTCACTACTACAGTCACTACTACAGTCACTACAGTCTACTACAGTCACTACTACAGTCACTACTACAGTCACTACTACTAAAGTTACTACAGTCTACTACAGTCATTACTACAGTCACTACAGTCACAACAGTCTACTACAGTCACTACTACAGTCACTACTACAGTCACTACTACTAAAGTTACTACAGTCTACTACAGTCACTACTACAGTCACTACTAGTGTCACTAGCTTCTAAACTACGCGGCGGTTAATTAGAACAAAAATTACACAGACGAAAGCCAGATATATCTGTTTCAAGTCTTTTTAGTTTTAAAATGGACATAATTCGCATGAGTTTTGTGTTTAGTGTAGGCCTACTGTAAATTAGTCTTTTAGGTGGTCGTTCACAAACGAAGAGCCATTGTTAGCGGGAGATTGATGGGAGGGGTGTGGGAGTGGGAAAATAGCCTCAATTTTTGAACCATGTTTTACAAGTAGAATAGGGTTTAAAAAGTGTACCGTGATATTTTTAGTAGTTTAATATGAAATGCTTGTTACGATGTTACTTGTTACTTTTGAGTGATTTCCGTTAACCGGAAGTGGAACTTTTTCTACTTTCAATTTTTCAAAAGCCTATAACTATTTCAGATAGATAAATGAAATTTCACATTTAAATAAAAGATCTAATTCTCTGCCTTCTATCAAATTTTGAGTAATTTCCGTTGACCGGAAGTAGTAATTTACGCTATTTTCGATTTCTCAAAAAAAGCGCATGTGAATTTATAAAGTACTAATAATATCCCACACTATTATGCACATTTTATTTGGCGTTCACTTAGTGTGCACTTCTTTTTTCTACGAGATTCTATTCTATTATAAAAAGTTTTAGTAATTAAAAATGGATTAAAAATATTGTGTATGTCCCGAGTTGCCATCCTCCGTAGTGCTATATTAGAATATTCGAGAAAATTTAGGAGAGATCACTCCTGGTTTATTTTGTTTTCTAACAACCGCTGTACGGATTGAATTTTGCGCAGTGTTATTAAAAGATACAGATGGCAATTCAAAGCGCACGATTGATTTCACTCTGAACTAAAATGCACTCAAAGTATAATTATTTTGAACGGAACAGTTCAAATATAACTGTTTTCATTAATTAATACTTGACTTCAAGCAATCGAATTGATGGCTTTTCTAAATGCCTAAATGTTATTTACAAAGGTATAGATTCTATAAAAATGGTCAGATACGTTTTTTTTTACCGCATGAAATTTTATCTGGTGTGTATTGTGGGGTCTCGTGTTGGTTCTGGTGTGGGGTGTAGGGTAATGTTGATTGGTATGTTCTCGGGGTGTTAGGTGATGGTGTGGTTAGAGATGTGTGACGGGTTGGTGTGATGTTTGGTCTATTCCGTGTGTTCGGTATGTGTAGTTGGGTTGTGTTTGATACAAAGAGAGTGGTGTATATAGTGTGGCTCTAAGTGATAAAAGTGTGGATCATGGGTTTAGTGTGGATTGTGTTATGTTATGTGATGTAGTAGGATGTGCTTTGCGAGGTATTGTCTTTAATATGCTGTGTATGTTGTGTGGTATTGGGTTGTGTTATATCGAGTTGTGTGGTATCGGGTTGTGTGGTATCGGGTTATGTGGTTCGGGTGTGCGGTGGGCTGTTGTTCGTGCGGTGTGAGAGTTGGTCTACCTCGTGTGTTGTATGTGTGTAGTGGGGTGTAGTGTGGTATATGGCAACATGTGTGGGTGTTGTGGGATTAGTGATTTTGTGGGATTTGAGGTGATGTGGTGTTTGTTGTGATGTGTGGTTCAATGTGTAAGGCAGGTTGTGGAGCGGTGTGTTATTTTCCAATTAGTTTTTCTCTTCCTTTTATTGTTTCTACTATCTCGTTACGGTAAAATCAATATCAATGTTTTGTAAATTGTGTCTTTTCTGACACTCGAAGATTTGAAAATGAGGAGATGAAATTGGCAAGTTTGTTTTTCTTGCTGTGTGGTGTCCTAGTTGTTCTGTTACCTGCGGTAACTTCAGGTAACTATATTTTCTAGTATGTCACTCAAATAATGTAAGGTTAGTAATAGTAAATTTACTCCCCCCCCCCCCTAACCTCAACCCTCACGAAGAGATGTATTAAGGAGTCCCGAGTTGTATTAAAGGCAGAAGATACACCAGAGTAGCTTCAAAAATTTGAAACATGACTTTTCTATCATTCATACTTAGAATCCACATGCATTTTTCCATTATACAACTTGTATTCATTATTTTATAAGAAACTCGTATTATTTTTCTTTGTTCTTACTTATAATATTAGGGTGGTTTCCATCAACCAGTTAACTTCGTCTTCAGTCTGCTGTTTCATTATGGATTTCCTTCTCCAGCATTATTCCAATTAAAAATCAATCTGAAAGGCAACAGTTATTTGAGTGTACAGGGTCGTTTTCTCGGCTAGTTGGATTGCTGTACCCAGCTAATGAGCCTCATCTGCCCGGGGTCAGGACTTTTTGAGTTAACAATCATACGCTCTCCCGCTCGATCACTCCGTTCCCTCACAATAATGTGATTTCCGTCGGTTTTGGGCGGCGTTGGAAGGGGGGGGGGAGGGGAAGGTTTGCTCGAAATGTTGGGCTATAACATATTAAGTTTTGTCTTCAGTAAATATTATGTGACAATATATGCTTTAGTTGGTGGATACATGATGTCTTATGTTTGTGTTATATAGTAAATGCACAATCCATATTAAGCATGGGTCGTACTGCGCATTTAGTAGAACAAAAATAATTCGTAAATTCGTTGTTTAATTATTTGAAAATGTGTGAAATTATGTTTGTATAAACTCAGTTATTTATAACTGTATCTTATCTAGCTGAAATTTGAATTATTGATCAACAATTTTATGCTAAATGTCTTATGAACACAGTTCTGAAAAACGGAAAAAAATAGTCACGAAAATATAAACCCCGGGGAGTTTCAATAATAAAGGTTTAGATTATATTCCCTGTTACATACTTATTTAACATACGTGGAATGATCAAACTTAAGTCATTTTACGATGCCAAATGTGTGTCTAAGATTACTATTAATTTGAAATTTAAAATATTAAAATCAACTAATTCATTTTTTTATGACAATGAAATTCAGAAAACTAGTAGTTTTAAAGCTAAAAACATTGCTCATGTGTAAAATATACCTTAATGAACGCATATAACCTTTTACACCTATAGTTGACCTATATTTAGGCTGGTGAAGATTTATATCACATTTTATTTTATTAAAATGTGATATGTACACATCAACACTATGAAGGATGACAACTTTAACAAGTACTCTGAGTCACTAGCATACACCATCCTGAAGGTAGTTGGCAAACACAACAGAAATACTTTGTTTCACCGGCGTCTGATTTAATTTTCAGGGTACGCAAACTGCGCAGGCAACGGCTCTTGTGTGGGGAACAAAGGCGCATGTTTGTCGCGGTCTAAACCAGGTTACAGCAAATATAACTGTGGAGACGTTGAGCCAGTGGTGTGGTCAGTGATACAGAGTGATCGGGAAATGGATGGTGAGTGCTATGGCGTGTATGGAATGACGGTGTTTGAGTGCTGTGAAATAAAGCAGTTCTATACCAAGGCGGCGTAGATTTTTCCCTAACGTGAGTCAGGTACCATCCTAGCTAGGTTGACCAGGGGGAGTCCTGTAGATTCAAGTTTGGATCCGCACTCGAAAATTCTTAGTCTAGCAATCTTGATCTCTGCTATAATACCATGCCGCCCAGGCTACATTAATTTCTGTCATCGTGTTATGCCTATATATTAGTTCCTGCCTGCTGCCACTTTCTTTGAGATTCACTGTCTTCTAGTTTTCTCTCTAGCACTCTCAACCTACTAGCTGTCTCTATAGCTGTCACCACTTGTCAAATATCTCTCTAGCTAACACCACCTGCCGAATGTTTCTCTAGCTGTCACCACCTGCTAAATGTGTCTCTATAGCAGTCACCACCTGCCGAATGTGTCTCTATAGCAGTCACCACCTGCCGAATGTGTCTCTAGCTGTCACCACCTGCTAAATGTGTCTGTATAGCAGTCACCACCTGCCGAATGTGTCTCTATAGCAGTCACCACCTGCCGAATGTGTCTCTATAGTAGTCACCACCTGCCGAATGTGTCTCTATAGCAGTTACCATCTGCCGAATGTTTCTCTAGCTGTCACCACCTGCTAAATGTGTCTCTATAGCAGTCACCACCTGCAGAATGTGTCTCTATAGCAGTCACCACCTGCCGAATGTGTCTCTATAGTAGTCATACCCTGCCGAATGTGTCTCTAAAGCAGTTACCACCTGCCGAATGTGTCTCTAGCTGGCACCACCTGCTAAATGTGTCTCTATAGCAGTCACCATCTGCCGCATGTGTCTCTATAGCAGTTACCACCTGCCGAATGTGTCTCTAGCTGTCACCACCTGCTAAATGTGTCTGTATAGCAGTCACCACCTGCCGAATGTGTCTCTTTAGCAGGCACCACCTGCCGAATGTGTCTCTAGCTGTCACCACCTGCCGAATGTGTCTCTATAGTAGTCACCACCTGCCGAATGTGTCTCTAGCTGTCACCACCTGCCGAATGTGTCTCTATAGTAGTCACCACCTGCCGAATGTGTCTCTAGCAGTCACCACCTGCCGAATGTGTCTCTAGATGTCACCACCTGCCGAATGTGTCTCTAGCAGTCACCACCTGCCGAATGTGTCTCTAGCAGTCACCACCTGCCGAATGTGTCTCTAGCAGTCACCACCTGCCAAATGTGTCTCTAGCGGTCACCACCTGCCGAACGTGTCTCTAGATGTCACCACCTGCCGAATGTGTCTCTAGCAGTCACCACCTGCCGAATGTGTCTCTAGATGTCACCACCTGCCGAATGTGTCTCTAGCAGTCACCACCTGCCGAATGTGTCTCTAGATGTCACCACCTGCCGAATGTGTCTCTAGCAGTCACCACCTGCCGAATGTGTCTCTTGCAGTTAGTTTCAACATATCAGCTGTTTCTTGACAGTCATCACCTGACAGTTGTCTATCTAATGGCCACCGCCTGCCAGTTTTCTCTAGCATTCTCCACCTGCTAAGTCTGTCTTTAACTGTCTCTACCTGCAAATGTATGTCTCTCGTCAGCCTGCTCTTAGTTTGCTAATGACAAGACGTGCTACACCCTGCTGAGCGTCTTCAAGGACGGCTGTATCGATGAATACCAGGGCCTTCTGTGTGACAGTATGTCAGGATATTTATATCGACCTTACGTGCTACTCTTAGTAGGATTTCTAACACTAGCGACTAAGTTAGGATATTTGAAGTTAAGCTAAATCTGACAGTATTTTAGCTGTATGGTAATAATTAGCTGTTTGCTGTTGTTTGTCCTCCAGATATATGCATGTAATAGCTGTTTGCAGTATTTTGTCCTCCAAATATATGCATGTAATAGCTGTTTGCTGTTGTTTCTACTATAGCTGTATGTATGGAATATCTGTTAGCTGTTGTTCGTCCTCTAGCGTTAAATGTAAAGGCTGATTCCATCAACTCCGGGGTAGCCTTTGTCTACTCGGCCATCGGCATCATCGTGTTATTTTGTCTCTTCTACTTCATCTGCTACCACAAGTGCAAACAAAGTAGGCTAAAGAAGTCCATCTTGTACGCGGAAGCAGGTGAGAGTTTAGTCCAGGTAATCGTGTGATCTCTATTGTGTGCAGTTTAGCTGACAATAAATACTTTTGTACCGCGTCATACGAGTGCCCCGACAGTCGAGCGAGGTATTTTTTGCTTTTAATACGAAGCAACGTTTGACCTACGAGCAATCAGATCCGCAGGTTTCATTAGTGGTGGGAAAGAAGCACCTCAAATAAGTTGCTAACAATCGCGCAAGGCAGCTATTTAACTCATTTCCAATAGGGAGCTAGAAGCAAAACTCTTTTTGTTTTATACGGTCTGCACACGAAAGTAGTAAATACTGGCAAAAGGGGAAACACTAGTGAAGAGAAATGCAGTCACGAAAAATAATTATTAAGTATCAACTAGCATTTAAGTTTATTTATTGTTTGTGCGTTTTTAGTAAATTCTATTAAGTTTAGGGATAAATTGTAGCATTAAGAGTGTAACGCTGACGTGAAGAATGGGGGAAGGTGACGCGGTAGAAGCTTCAGCTAAGTTTGGGGGTTGGTGGATAAGAAATGGGAGACGAATTGTCCCCCCAAGACAAAAAAAATAATTTTTGGTCAGTTTGTGTGTTAATACTACATCGTTCATTTTACACATTTAAGAATTGGATCGATTAGAACCATTTGACAATTGCGGAATTAAAATAGAAAACCTGTTTTACTAATATCTATATTTCGTTTGGTTGCATCGCCGAATTTTTATAACACTCGTTAGGAAAACGAAACAAAAAATTCAAAAACTAGACTATACTTTCTCGAATACACAGAATAGAGCACGTATTCTAATCGTTCACAAACAATAAATGATATTTTGACAGATTTAGCTGATTTACACCCCCCCCCCTACTTTATCATATACGGAATACAAAAGGATGTATTGTAATCGGGTCTACGACAAATTCCCGAACGACACTTGCTCGAATGCCGTTTGCCCAAAGGCCGATTTCCCGAATGCGACAAATGCCCGAATTGACACTTGCTCGAATGCGACAAATGACCGAATGGATACTTGCCCGAATGCGACAAATGCCCGAATGGACACTTGCCCGAATGCGGTTTGCCCGAAAAATGTTAACATTATTTAATACCAAATAGAAATTCGTAATTAATTTAAATTTGAAATTTTGATAAACAATACACATCTTAACAAAAATTAAGGGAAAATAATTAACACTTTAACACGCAGACATTCTTAACTAATTTTATTTGCTATATAAAAGTGTATAAACATATTTTCTTTTCTATCTATAAAATAAGAACAAAAACATTTTCTTGTATCTCAGATTTTTAAAGGAATCACTTTCTTTATTAAGTAATCGCTTCAACACATTGTCTAAACAAAGTGCATTAAATGGAGATAAAATATAATAGACTACATTTAGTTTTTAAATTCGCCGCCTAGACCGCCCCACATTTTTTTGTGAAATTAACTCACAAGCTAAGCATAACAAGATAAATCAAACAAAGAGAAACAAACGTGCTTCTGTTCAATGTTGCGAGACGCCGCGCCGCCTACACCGTGTCATATAACCACGGCAACATGTCCGCTAAACAACGTGTTCAAAACTTACATCAATAGAATGTTAAGACATCGCCGCAAATATCATCTTACATTTATTAAAGAATAAAGAAGTTTTTTACAGCAATTTCTCATGTTTAAAAAAAAATAAAAGCTAAATTTAAATAATATAAACAATTTTTTTTCTACGTTTAGAATTGTGTTGATTATCAAAATTTCAAACTTGAATTGATTAAGAAGGGTTATTTAGTAATATAATTTTTTAATTTAATATTTGCATTTTCGGGCAAACGGCCTTCGCGCAAGTGGCATTGGAGCATTTGTAACATTCGGGCAAGTGTCCATTCCGGCGTTTGTCCCCTTCGGGCAAGTGTCCATTTGGGCATTTTGTCGCATTTGGGCAAGTGTCTATTCGGTAAATTGGCCTTCGGGCAAACGGCATTCGGGCAAGTGTCTTTCGGGAAAACGTCCGGCTCCCATTGTAATCATGTATAAGATTTTATACTTGGGGGACTCGCACAGTTTGAGTGACTTGCGATATTTGGAAGAGTTAATTTCCTCTATTTTCGGTTTCGAAAATACCGATAAACAGAGTACAATTTCAGCTACAAGGACGAACTTTCTTACGTATCTTTAAGATCGTATTGATGGTCTCGGTCGCAAACCGACTTCGTCGGAACATTTCAATTATCTGTTTTGTATATAATCAAAAGCCAGTACGATTCCCCAAAATGCCTGAAAATATTATTTTTTTTGTCAAAAAATTAGCAAAATATAATAATATAGCATACAAAACGTTTTAATACATGAGTTTCATTAAATATAATGATGAACTACTATTTTAAGAATTGAAACGAAAAGCGTGTCTGTGATAATTTAGTGTCGTATTTAGTTATAACGACCACATTTTATGTATAGCTATTACATCAAATTTGTTGTTTTCTTTCAAATTATGAACGAATTCAGGGAAACGGAGAGTCAATAATTTGAGTACCGTTTACTAAAAGTAATTTGACATATAAGTAACAAATTGTATGCGCATGCTTCTGCCATTCGTTGTACGATTTCCAGCAACCGAAAATTATATTTTACTTGATTTCCGTGCGAAGACTATAACTTGAGCACTGTTTCAGGTAGCTAGACAAAGTTTCGTATAATAAGTGTAAGATCTTATAATTGGATTACTTCAATTTTTTAGGAACCCTTAATTAAAAAAAACTTATACTTTACTCTATTTATGTGTTCTAAAATACCGGCAACGTGAGTATCCCCGATTTCTGAACACAGATTACTTCTAACTGACCGATTTGTTCGAAACTTTTCACGTACGTCAAGACTCGATGACGAAGCAAAGTGACATTAAGATTTTAATTATTTTAGAAAAAAATAATTATCATAAAATAGTTATAGTTGTTTAATTAAGTATTAATTTTTCGCAAAATTATGCACACGTTGTTTGCTGTTCATTAAAAAAAAGATTCGCCGTTTTTCAACTCCCCATTGTATCAGATACTGAATATAAAGGATACATTGTAATCGTACAAAAATCTAGACTGATTTTCAAATATCAGATTGAATGCGGCGGTTCCTTTCAAGTATTGCACGATGTATATAGGCTATATATATATATATATATATATATATATATATATATATATATATATATATATATATATATATATAAGGTCTTGTTCTCTTGATTTTGTCAAAATATCAAGTGAGTTCCGGTAACCGAAAGTAGTAGGCCCACTTGACGATTTCTAAAAAATATCACTTCCACCGGACTGATTTGATTCAGACTTTTCACGTAGGTCAAGTATCGACGACAGCGCATCTCTGACATAAAATTTGACTTAGTTAGATGTTTAATTAACTTTTTAGAAATAATTAATTGTTCTTTAAAGTACTCATTTTCCACTCTACTATGCTCACGTTATTTACGTCCATGTAGTGTGTAATTCCATTTTCAACTCGATTATATTTAACAATGTTGGCCTAACTGGTTCTAGGTAAATTAAAAAAACACATCCTAAAATCCGAACACTATACTTTATATCAGGTGTTATTTGTCTGCTGGAAACAAGCCAAACCCTTATATTGACTTTAAGGAGATGGACATTAAATAAAGGAGTATTCCTGCTACTGTTTTGTAAGTTACTACAAATACATTTTTATAATACATATATATATATATATATATATATATATATATATATATATATATATATATATATATATATATATATATATGTATATATATATATATATATATATATATATATATATATATATATATATATATATATATATATATATATATATATATATATATATATGTGTGTGTGTGTGTGTGTGTGTGTGTGTACACATAGGCTATCTATAATATCGATTTTATTTTAAATTATGGTGTAAAAATAAGCTTTAAATAAATAAATAAATTGGGTGTGGGGTGCGGACAGAAGAAAAGATAGGAAGACAGATCAAATCGAACAAACTGATAGTGGACAAACAGGCTGGATTCAGAAAGTCCAGAGCTACTGAACATTAAATGACGTTCATAATACAGGAATTATAGGATGTCTTTCAAAATAAAGAAACCTACTTCAATAGTGAGAATTGACTTTGAAAACCATTTGACAAGGTCTTGGGGCAAAGTTTAATATTAAAGCTAATAAACCATAACGTATCTTATATCATGCTAAACTTTATTAAAGGGTATCTTACCAACCGCAAAACATTAGTTTGTATGCAGGGTAAAAGAAGCCATACTGTAACTATATAAACTGAATCACACAAACAGAAGTCATATCTCCTACTTTCTTCTTCATCTAATTATTGACTTAAACACAATGTTCCTATGAGAGTAAATAGCAGTATGCTCGCTGATGACCTTCAACTATTCAGAACTGAAGAATATATTGGTATATCAAAAAGTCGGTTTCACGAATCACTTTACAAGCTCAGGATATCAGCGAAAAATCTATTAATACCAAGAAAACAATCTATTCAATCTTCACTCTGTCAAAAAAAAACCGATGAAGTAACTCTAGCTAACTCTGTGCTAGAAAAATAAAAAGACTAACCCACTTACCTGAGAAAAAAAAAACTACGAAAGCCACTTAGATAAAAGCAATGGAGGAAACAGCTGCCCTAACCTTCTATTGGAAGAAAGAAGAGAATAAAAATCCTCACCCAATACACAAATCTTGAGGCACTTAAACATCATAAATCTCCAGAAGCCCAGCGCATCAGATATACTCCAAACAACCAACGAACAAGTTTTATTAAAGAAACCAAAAGCCAAAAAAAAAAAAGAATTAACAAATAGAAAACATCATTCCCGAAATAATCAAAACACAAAACCTATCTTCACCGTGGCTCTCTTATCTTTCATTAACCATCAGAGACTCAATACTTACCATAGAAAAAAAATCCGACTACGATCAAAAAGAATTTAAGAAAATTACATACAACCTAAAAAATAAGAAAAAAAAGTATCTTGGAAGATGACTCAGCTGAATATATCACAACATTGGTGGGGCTGGAATTCTTATTAATTGGCCAAACCTATAGCCGCCTGCAGTCTTTCACCAAACAGGCAGATGTAAAATCTATTCTGCAGTCTCTAAAAACTCCATAATTGTCTACTCAATAACTCAGTACGGGCCTTTGATGGCATAGGACAGAGAGGAAGGGGGAACATGATATACATGAATGGGGGCGTACATACAGTCTAAAACTACCGGATAGATAGGTAAATAGAAGTGCACATAAAACTGACAATAGTCTCTTTTTAGAACATGCCATATGTCTGTCTTAAGTCACGAGATGCAGGCACGGTATAATATTGGATTAATGATTGAATGTCTTCAAAATTGAAATGGAACGATTTTTATTTTAACAGAATTCCACAAAACTAATTTTTCTGTAAACTAATATGAATAATAGTGCAATGTTTAAAAAAATAACACATAAAATACCAATACGGAGGCCTTTATTAAACAACAGATAGTAACAAACACCGATTCCAATATAGAAGCCTTTAATGACCAACAGAGAACAACAAACGTCAGTCACAATATGGAAGTCTTCCTTAGCAACAGAGAGTAACAAATACCAACCAGAAGATGAGCGGTTTCGATAACCAACCAAAAAGTTAGAAAAGCCAACTACGCGACAGTCACCTTCAAGAAGCAACCGTTGAGTAAAGACCGCGACCACTAGATAGTCGCCTCCACGTCAATTTGTTGTTTTTGTTTTTGATCACTGACTGTTTTATTTTTTTTAGGCTCAGTTGGCGCACGAACTGTTTTGGCCGAGGATAATGAGATGTTAGCCGAAATAAGTGACCTAATGTAAGTTTAAATTTCGTATTTCTTGGATTTTTCTGTCTTAGTACCGCAAGGTTTTTTTGTAGTTGCTGTAAACAAATTTACAATATGTTTCCTCCCAAGATGCGACTTTAGTCCAGCTGATATGTTAACCCGTGTAAAAGATATGCAGAATAAATTGCTGACATTTTCCATAAGTCACATACATAATTTAGAAAAGGACTACGCGCGGCTAAATGAAAATTCGATGGAAGCAACAGAGGTCGTCATTGACTTCTACTATCAGAATTTGGGTAAAGTGCATTTTTTTTCATATTTCCGTTTTAAGAAGGAGGGGGGGGGGCGGCAACTTTGTGTTAGCCCAATTGATTTTATATCATACTGTTGTTTTGTTTGAGAATGTCGGTTCATTTCTAATCCGTTGTATAGTTACATCATTCCTGAAACAATCAAAACACAAATCCTCTTCGACGTGGCTCTCACGCTGTTCATAACCATCAGAAACTCAATAAATGCTATAGAAAACTTTTGATTACGATCAAGAAGAATTAAAAATAATGACATACAAGCAATTTAAAGAACAGTACCCCATCAATTCTTGGAAAAGAGTATACACACAAAACTCGGCTGAAGATACCACAAAAAATGGTTGAATGGCTAAACGGTGAAAACTTAAAGAAATTAATAGCAATAGGCAGCCTTTCTGATCATTTTAGAACTACGAAAGAGGCTTTAAAACATGCAGCTAAGCTCCTGTCAGATCACGCTGAATCTCCAAAAATAGACAGATGCAAATTCTATCTAACAGTCTCTAAAAACTCAAGAATTCTATATTCCATCACTCAAGGCAGCCCTCAAAAGGCCACACAACACATGCATTTTCAATATAGAAACCTTTATTAAGTCTTCCTTAGCAACAGAGAGTAACAAATACCAACCAGAAGATGAGCGGTTTCGATAACCAACCAAAAAGTTAGAAAAACCGACTACGCGACAGGCACCTTCAAGAAGCAACCGTTGAGTACAGACGGCGACCACTAGATAGTCGCCTCCACGTCAATTTGTTGTTTTTGTTTTTGATCACTGACTGTTCTATCTTGTTTTAGACTCTGTTTGCGCTCGCCTTGCCTTTGTTGAGTATGAAACACTTTTGGTCAATAGACATTATAATATGTAAGTATAAATTTCAAATTACTTGGATTTTTCTGTTTTAGTATCGCAGTTTTTTGTTTTGTAGATGCTGTAAACAAATATACCATATTTTTCCTCCCCAGCACCAAATGTTGGTCAGCTGATGTATTAGACTGTGTAATGCAAGTGCTGACAGCCATGAAAAATGAAATGCTGGCCAACTGTACAAGTCAAATAAACACTTTGAAACGTAACATTGAATGGCAAAGTAAGAGTTTGATGAAAGCAACAGAGGACGACAATAAAGTCAGCTATCAGTCTTCCAGTTTTGCTATGGCTAATTTTTTTTTTAAATTCGTTTTTAAGAAGTGGGGGGAGGTGGGGGGAATTAGCGAAATCGTTTTTAAATCATTCTGTTTTTTTTTTAAGAAGTTCTGTTAATTTCTAATGTGTTGTATCTGTAAAGCCTTTGGACTAATGGCTTCAATAACGTGTTTACTTCCAACAATAATACATCTTATCTATGTGCAAGAACAAGATATTGAGATTATCATAAGAAATTTCGACAACACAATGTATATTGCCTTCGCATGTGGATTTTTGATAGGCGCTGCCTTAAGCTTTGCATTTCTTCTTATGTATTCATTATTAAGCCTGTTTTAAAAAAAACTATTTCTTTTCTACAAAGAATAAGGTTTAACGCCTACCTGATTAAGTCAACCCTAGTTTTGTCGGCATAAAACATAATGATGAATATTTTTTTTATCTACACTAAATGAATTTTTCTACAAAAGTTTTTGCTGAGCCTGATGTTGATTATACAAATGATTTATCAGTTCATAGTTACCTTTACATAGTTACATTTAATATAATAGTCATGATTGTGTACTATTAGTTAATATACTTAGCCCATTTCTTTTTATGGCTAAAAAAAAATATGGTAGGTTTATCATGGGAACAGGACATTACTTCACCCCGTATTTACCCCCGCGGAGCAATTACCCCAAGTCGGTTATTCCCTGTCAATTAACCCCACTGTCGCCCCCGCTAAAATATATACCGACACCGCGGCCATACAAGACTATGCAGTGGACAGAAAAAGAGAAGCTGCCTTTTGTTTGACGCAACACCGTGGGAGGCAAGACGCTCAACTCAGATACTGACAGATATTTCAAAAGACGAACAGATGGACATCAAACACGAGCCCCATTAACAGTGACAGCATAGTTAGGGTGTAATAAGTTTCACCTTATTTGCAGCTGAGGTCCCTGCCCACACATTTGAAATTAAACTCACTTCAAAAGTTAGGACTATATAAACATTTAAGATTTACGTTTTCGTCATTCGCTTCTAAAATCCAATGCTTTACAAGCGTTTACAAACATACCGTACGCACTTTGAAAGATAAATCAACTGAAAAAACCTACACAAGCAATGACATTTTAGGTTTGTGAATATATATATAATACATCGACACATATTACTGTTCTTGTCTATCAAAATCTCAGTAACTTTAACTATCTTAAGTTGACCGCAGTGGAGGGGGAAAGTGGGTAATGTCCCAATGAGCTTAGTTTGGCGAGTCGGTAATGTCCGGGGGAAGGGGGGAGGAGAGAGGGGAAATTAAAGGGAGGTAATGTCCTAGGCCCGTTTAGTATAGATGTGGCTATTCATCTGTTTCTCATAAACTATGTTTGGGGAAAATAAAGAAAAACGCCAATGTTAATAAGTAATAATACAACAACTCGGATTGCAATTTTTATTAAATATTAGATACTTAAAATAATTATACTCCTACATTAACAAACAAGAAGAACTAGTTAACATATTGTCAGTAGTTGTTCGGTTTGGTTTTCTTTCTTCTCATATTTTTGGTGATATCATCTGCTAAGAACAGGACGGGGCATTATTTTATGTTATTTTTCTTTTAAAATCAAGACTTGGCATTTAATATACTCAATGAGTCGTTATTTGCCTTAATTTGGTAATTAAAACCTTTCTTAAGTTGGTACTATTACTTGTCCGTCATATTCATCAAACACACACTGTTTAATTTACGGTTTAGTTTTTCACACCCACTGCATATTTACCCATAAAACCTATGTTTAATAAGATTTTTAAAAATTGTTTTAAATATGTTTAAACTTTTTGGGTTGTCATGTTTACATCCGTAGTATTAAATTTTTATTTTAAAATGCCGTATGTCAGCAACCGCTGGAAAAATGGAATAATTTTTTAGAACGATGTAAGACTGAAACAGATTTTTAAGAAAGGATTTCAAAAAATCTTTTAAAATGTTTTTTAATGTTACAGACTGCTAAAAAATGCAAAAAATATTTTTTATTTGACATATTAAAATCAATAAAATCGAACATAAGAAAGATATTTTTAAAAAATAAATCCGCATAGATCTTCTTTCTGTATATGAAAAAATCAGGCTACGTTTTAGGCAGAACAAACTGCGGAGAAGCGATTTCAATAGTGATATAGGTTTTTTTTAATTAAAAAGATTTATTTAATTGATAAACAGTAAAAGATTTATTAAACTAGCAAAACCATTTCTAAAGTTAAAGTAAAAAAACATACTTCATATAAGGGGTCGTCCATAAATGACGTCACACTCGTAGTCCGTAATGTTGTGACGGTGTGTGATGAGGGGGAGGGGGGGGGGGTCATCAGATGGTGCGACATCACGCTTTTGCATTATAAAAAAGCAATGTTAAAAAACAAATTTTAAACGTTTTTTGCGAATTAGAAAACTGTTTTAATAAATTGTAATAGAAATTCATTAAAATACTCTATTTTGACAGATTTCAGATCGATGTTTTAAAAAAAATTCAACTGCAATTTTGAGGGGGGGTTGAAGGCTGATGTGTGACGTCAAATTAGGTTGGGGGGAGGTTCTGGCTTTTTGTAACGCTGTGTGACGAAGGGGAGGGGGGGGGGGGGAGGTAAAAATAGTCAAAAGCGTGACGTCATTTATGGATGACCCCCTAAGACAATGTATCAATTATATAAAAGTTAAGACCATTTTCATTAGGTAGGCTATGTTTAAAATTTGTCGGCACTTCATTTAACTGTTCTATATTGTTGAGCATATTACATTTTATTTTTAACAACTGCTACATTTTTCTTGCCATCTAGCATTGTATTTTTCAGATTTCTAGCCCGGCAATAATTTTGACGTTTCTTTAATTTTTCAAACAATTCTTGTTGGTATTGAATGATACATTATTTATTATTTTTTATATAAATATTTAAAATATAAATGTATAATAATACTCAATTTGTTTTTTTTTCTTATAAAGTTTATAATGTGTTGTTTTGTGTTAAAGTGTTGTATATGAGATGCCCATACTACCTTATAATAAAATTAACAGTAGGGTAGCTAGTGGACGGGGACGGCTGAGCCTAGTGCCTACACTTAAAATGCGCTACAATTGGTAGAAAAATATTTAAAACAAATTTTAAGCTGAAGTATTTAGCTGTTTTCTACCCTGATTGTGTAACAGTAAAAAAAATATCCTTAATGAGTCAATGACAGGTAAAAACCACTCATTAACCTTTTCCTTAGAAGGGTGAAGAAGGGTGGGGGGGGGGGCGAGGGATAAGTAAGTAGGCAAATCGTTTAACACTTAGAAGAGAAATCAACGGCATTCACGCATAATGTACGATTTCTCCAGCAAGTGTTTTTAAAAGGTAACGCGACTTAGTCGTTAAACATTACATTTCTTCTATCTTCAACGTGCGAGATCAGAAAAATTGACATCGAATGACATCTTGCCTGAATCTATGGTGTTAAATTTAAAGAGAAATAAATAACACGGAATTCCAGTGTGGGTATCTGCCCAGTAAAATAGCATATGGTCTTGGCAACTAGTTCTTAGTAGCTAAACGTTCGATTTCTCTTATTTTCAACGTACAGGATCAGAAACCTATACTTTATTGCGTGAATGTATTGTATTGTATTAAAGAAACATAACTAACACTGATCTCACTGTGGCTAACTGTCCAGCAAATTAGCATTTGGTCGGAAGGTGTGAGCTAGAAGGCTATGCTGTTTGTTCGAGATGATAAGAAGTTCAGAAAAAAATATTACCTAGATTTATGTTTAAAATTCCCCAATAAACGTGTCTACTATAAAATTAGAAAATTGTGCTAAAGAAGTAGGCGCTTGAATGTTTCACAACCTTCTAATACTGCAATTTTCATACAGTTAAGGCCAGTACGCCTACCAATCGAAGTACTATTTCTGACCACTAATTGCTTTACGACGATTCACGTTGTATGACACTACGACAATTATTGCTTGAATAATCGACTGCTGCTGATAATCCCAAACTGTAATATGCTATTTTCGAGATTGTTCTAAATACACAACAAAATGGAGCAAATTAATTTTCATCTTCTACTAACCACCATTTAAATTTCTGATTTAGTTCCCTTAGGAGCATAGGCCTGATCAACACTAAGTCAACTAACATGGTTTATTAAAACAATCTCAGGCCATGAGAACCCAGCCTCACTCATCTTTCTTTCGAACAATTTCATGTGCATTTTTGGTTTCCCCACATTTTCTGTTGTCTCATGTCTAATTTCGTACTCCACTTTGTCCTTTGTCTTAGAGACATACAGAAAAAAGACTTTACAATAAGCAAAAGATCCCTATTTTATATTTTTGTCAATGCATTTTAATTCGAAATGAAATAGAAAATTAAAAGTATTTTAACCTTGCTAATTCTAATCTGAACGTCTTGGTTGGTATCATTATTATTAGTCCAGATTTTAGTGATTCTTTTTAGTTGGTAACACTGCTATTATGTCATGTATGTGTTACATTGAAAACAAAACATGTTTGTAAAGTTTAAATTTATTTGCGAAATACAAAAATATGAGGATACAATATTTCGAGGGCGTCTCAATGCTCTAAAGATAGCCATCGGTAATATTACTGTCGGGGTGCGGGTGAGATCCGTAGTTCATTATAGTTATAGATTGTCACAGCCCACCGTACCTTTTGTGGTACTCGGTGCTTTTTTAAGCGAATGTAGTTTGCCATAGTACTATTAGGGGAGCCTGGAACGCTGTGGGTCACATGACCACATGAGCGTCGTAGAACGCTCAAACTGAAGATTGGCTGTTCATTCAATTACTACTCTGTCACTCTAAGCAGGACACCCAGGAAGAAGATACCAGGTGCTAGGATAGCCACTGGTGATCTTGGGGCGTCCAGCTACACTTTTGTCCAGGTGGGAGCCGCATCTACAACATGTAATTAAATTTTATGACAGAAATCTGCGCGTGGAGTTTACTCAACTACTCAACTACAAAGTTGTATGGCGATCGGATTGATGGTGTAGTAATTCATTAAAAAACATGGGGAAATGAAGGTGGCTGAGGCACGAGTCAGAAATTTTTCTAATTTAGGGGCAATCCAAAATGGACTTAAACTCTATTTTAACTTTTTTTTTTAAAACGCCCCTCTACCCCTCGTCACAAACTTGCAAATCCCCCTCTTCTCGATGGACGCTAACTTAAGCGTGCACACACACGATGAAAAAACATAGAAGATTATGTACCTACTTGAAGTCAAATACATAAATAAGACAAAGTAACAGTTTACTTTTTTATCCTTATTGAAATGTATAATAACTGTCAATGAAATTTAAAAACGTAAGTAAAATATTATTATAATGAGCGTCTCAGAACTCGCCGCAATTGCGCAACGGGCAGAAAATATATTCTGTGTGACATTCCTAACCCATCCCTCCCCACTGCATCGTCACAGTAATGCAACTAATTCACCTAGTGCTTGAAGTAATTTATGGACGGAAAACATTTTTCTATTTAGCCCAAACCGTACAATGTTGGCGTTTTTCGAGCTAAACGGGAAATCGATCTTCATTACATTCAACAACAAAATAGCGCTTTTTGGTGTTTTAGTAGGTAGAATATTTGACCAATAATTAATTGATTTTTATTATATTTAGTGATTGTAAAATGTAAAATTAAATCATTTACTATTGATTAACATTTTTATAATATAAAGTACTAGCTGACCCGCGACGTAGTATACGCCGCCATCTAGCTGTTTTATTTTCTGCTTATCAGCACTTCGTAATTTGTGAATTCAATTCATCAAATACTATTCACGTAATTTTATATTTGCTGACTAATTTTTAACTAAATTTGCATAAGTGGTGAATGTAAAAGTAAAGTAAAGTTCCCTTTCAAACCTGACGGTCTATGGGGCAAGGCAAGTCAAGTAGAGTTCACTTGTTTCTGTGGTGAATGTACAGCCATTAAATTTACAAACCAAAGGAATGGAACTTGGAGAGGACAACAAAGCACTGACTTACAGCAACATAAATAATGCCGAATATTCGATGGTCGACATGGTAATTTCCGAAGCCTATCTAAGTCAATATTTAATTGTATCTCTCTAGTGATATAATTCAAAGTATACACATTTATCATCACATGTGTAGCATTTTTTGTCAAATAATTGGTTGGTTAGATGTGGGCTAAACAATATATAGTGTGTTTCATAACTAAGAGCTTGTTTGTGTGCCTTAATGAAAACGTACCAGAGCACATATGAACTAAACATATAAATAAAAAAAAACTACATTACTCATGCCGAAAAAAAACACATGATTGTTTTGTTAGTTAGTGCAAGAGTGCTTAAGTTAAGTCTAAATAATGTATATGAACTATTGCAAGTTCAAACAACGGGGCCTAATTATAAAGAAATACATCTATAAAAATGATGCAACAAATATATTTTACTCCGTCATGACTACACTTTCTCTTGGCATCGTATATGTACATTCTGGTTTTTGTGTAGGTTAAAATTATCTTAAGGACAGCTTAAACCCCATAATTTGACTTTTTAAAAATAGCCTTATTTTACCTATCTTAAATCGGTTAAAAATAAATATGGCGATGTACTAATTAAAAAACAATCACATTTTGAAACACATTTTGAAGAGAAAAACATCAAAATAAAAAACTAGGTGTCTGTGGTTTGTTCCAGGATGGACAAAGGCTATCGAAGAAAATCCAGAAAAAAAGCAGGCTGAAATCGGCATCAACCGGCCGTATAGCGCATAAGATGTTGACACGTTTCATTTAAATATGTTGAATGAAATCCTGTGAAATCTCACTCAAAACGTATACCGAAACTAAAGATAAATTCCTGCCTTACGCTTTTAGTCAGAGCAATGATCATGCACTGTTGGAATGGAATTCTAAAAATTACATCAAATGATGACAAGAGCACAACTGACTATCTGAATCTCTTTTGTTGTTGTGCGGATTATTGTATCACATTTTCATAATCAATAATTATGAATCTGTATGATTTCCTATCTGTCAGGTTAAGCAAGATGATGGTGCGAACTGCATACTAGCATACATTTCCCTTATTTTACATTATATAAATAAATAAATTAATTAATTAATTAATATATATATATATACATAATATAAACCATTTTGTTTATCAGAAACGTTTTGTTATAACCTTGGAATCTTTACAACAATATATCATGAGAAGTGGGTAACAGTCCATCCGCCAATAGTGACTGAAACGACATTATCTTCTACGGCGTCAGCCAAGATCCTTTCAAGGAAGATTTTGAAAAAAGATGACAGAATGCAAGCTATCGTGTTCGCGTACACAGACAAATACAAACAGATGATTTAGAAAGAAAAATACAAAGATTTTCCTACTCAGGAACATTTTCATTTCCATTTTACTTCCTCAATTCACCTTACACAAGGAAGTAAACAGAAAAAAACAGTATTATTTATCGTTAAGACTTTAATTTTATTTTTGAAATGATTAAATACATATTATAAATATCATTTACAAAAATAATGTATACAAACACACATTTACATAAACATTTAAATTTCTAGTTAATTTAAACCACATTTAAAATGGTACTTTTCTATTATATATTTAATTGATGATAATCATATTTCTCAACATCTTGTAAATTAATCACATCGTAAGTATGAACATTCTGGTTTGTATATGGGCTTGAGTTAACTTGTATGTCAGGCTCCACATTTTCAATTGCCTCGGTATAAGTCTTGTGTTGCTCTGTTAAAAGAAATATTGGCTTGTAGTAATTACATTTTGTTTCTATAAAAGTATTTTCGCATTTAATGTTCTTCTATTTTTCTATTTTTTCTTTAAAGTTTTTATTTCTTAAAATCAGACGAACTCAAAATTTGGATTGAATAAAATACTATAAAAAATTAGTCTATTACGAAGCACATCATTACACATCTTAATACGTTATTACGATAACTAACAACATTATGTGCGTCAGTTACCTGACTCGAGTTTGATACCGGGAATATTTTCAGGCTTTTCCTTTTTTATTATCCGATTTCTTTCAAGTGATAATATCCTCATACGATGTAGAAGTATTGCGGCTATTATAAACAGAAGGGAAGTTACTACAACACCAATGGCCACACCGATACCAATGCTCGTAGACGTTCTGTTATACTGTTCTTTCTCTAGGTGAAAGATAAATGGAAATTCTGGTAAGCTAAGTTTTTTTTTACACTTAAGTATATGATGCATTTTATCATAATGGGACGGCGTAGTCGGATGGAAGGGCGAACGACTGGCAACAAGAAAGTTTCGAGTTCGGACTCGAATCCCTGAGTCCCTGAGTCATTTCAGCTCTGATGGGTACCTGATGAAACGGGTAAACTCTACTGTACCTGTCACATGAGCGTCAGTTCTGAAGGGGTATTTTTGTAAAGCAATCAAACCACTTTTACTTGTAACTCTACGAAGCAATGAAAATATATATTAAATGTAACTATAACACTATTTAACTATAACCTATTTCCTAATCATTGTGCTTGTGTAGAAACTAATAGTAATGAAAATTTTTCTTACCGATTTGACAAAATTTTCCTGTCAAACCAGGATTACATTTTTCACATTCACCATTGACGCTGTCACATTTTAATTGGAAACAGCTGATGGAGCAATTCAATTTACAAAGTTTTCCGTAATGATAGGGATCACATGCTGTCGAAGATATAATCAGCAATACAATTTTTTTCACATGTAAAATATAATTATTATTTAATACTTTTTATGAATAATTATACATTTTATTATTTTACATAAACATTATCATCTCGTTGAGTTTTTAATCTGCCTTATGGAAAGCAACCGACAACCCCAAAACTAGAAACTTACGTTGATCACAGAAATTCCCCACACTGCCAGCATTACAAGACAAACAATGACCATTGACAGGATGACATAGGCTGTTGGTACAGTTGGGACTACATCTTTGTGAGCAGTTGGTGCCGTAATACGTCTCATGGCAAGCTTTTGATAAAATAGTGTTAGTGTTTTATAAGCAAGCTATATTAATATGTTATATATATATATATATATATATATATATATATATATATATATATATATATATATACTAGCCGTCCCGGCCAGGCCCTGCTCTGGCTTCTGTGAAAAACCTTTCTGTTAAAGACCATTACCTGTGTGTTTAGTAATCATCATAAACCCGGCATTGCCCACCCAAACCACAACCAACCAAAACCAAAACAACAAAACGCAAACATAACGCTAACACAATTACAAATACAAACGAAAACAAAAACCTAACAACAAACCCAACCACAACCACAAACGCCAATACAAACACATAGAAAAATCAAACAAAAAAGCAAACGAAAACAAAAACCTAACAACAAACCCAACCACAACCACAAACACCAATACCAACACAAAAAAAACAACGAAAAAGAAAACGAAAACAAACCAAATCCAAACGCAAAACCAACCAAAAACACAAATACAAACCAAAAGAAAAAAACACAAACAAGAACGAAAAAAGAAAGAACAAAAAAGAACCAAATAAAAAAGCAACCACTAACGCAAACCCACCTAAACCCACCTAAACACAAAGAAAACACTAACGCGAACATAAACGCCCGGGGCGAAATCACCTGTTTTAGCTTAATGAACGACTATAGTACCCCAACTTATTTACTTGCCCGAATGCGACAAATGCCCGAATGCCACTTGTGTCCATTCGGGCATTTGTCCCATTCGGGCAAGTGTCCATTCGGGCATTTGTCCCATTCGGGCAAGTGTCCATTCGGGCATTTGTCGCATTCGGGCAAGTGTCCATTCGGGCATTTGTCGCATTCGGGCAAGTGTCCATTCGGGCATTTGTCGCATTCGGGCAAGTGTCCATTCGGGAAATCGGCCTTCGGGCAAACGGCATTCGGGCAAGTGTCTTTCGGGAAATCGTCCGGCTCCCAAGGCAGGGTTTTATACTTTCACCATTGCTGTTCCTGCTGGTCATAGAAAGGATTATGATATTGTCAACAAAGAAAAAGCGAAACGGTATACAGTGGACACTGTGGTGCCAGCTGGATGAGCTGGACTTTGCTGACGACCTGGCCGTTCTTTCTCACACACAACAGCAAATGCAGGATAAAACCAACAGGGTTGCTAATTTTTCTACATATTGTTTAAAAGCAGGGTGGGACAGAAGCAGGCATAAAAATAAGGACGGACAAGGCAAGAGCAGTCTTCAAACAACTAAAAAATGTTTGGGGTTCTGGAGATTTAACCCTTGGAATATAAATCTGGATCTTCAACACACTAGTACAACCTGTTTTACTCTATGGAGCTTAAACATGGAGAATAAGAAAGAAAATATAATTATTTATAAACGCATGCCTCAGAAATATCCGCGAATTTGATGTCCTAAAACCATAAGAAATGATGATCTATAGCAGGGGTCTCCAAACTACGACCCACGGGCCGGATGCGGCCCGCGAGGTCCTCTCACCCGGCCCGCGGAGATCTTTTTGTCCTCGGAAAAAAATGTTTGTTGGAGGTGGCTGAGAAACTTCAAAACAATTTGAGAATGAAGCTTTCTGCGCAACTACTGTTGCCCACCGTGTTGCAGACATTGGTGAAGACACTGTGACTAAAATAGCGAAAAATGCAAGCAAATTTTGCAATGTTTCAATTGCAATGGATTAGTCGCTGGACAGGTGTTACGATGTTTCACCAATGTCTGCAACACGGCTGGCAATTGTATTTGCATCCAAAGCTTCATTTTCAAATTGTTTTGAATTTTCTGGGCAAAGTCCCTCAGCCACCTCTAACAAACATTTATTCAGTGGACAAAAAGCCGCGGGCCTGATGAATAGACTTCGCGGGCTGCATGCGGCCCGCGGGCCGCAGTTTGGAGACCCTTGCTCTACGCCATAAATAACAATACCCTGTATACAAGCCGGCGGCTGATGAGCGTCTTTACATCCTTTGTCACAGTCTCCATTAAACCTGTTACAGGTGTTGTCTATACAACGATCTTTACAGCTTTGGTTACAACTGATGCCCCAGATCTGATCGCCATGAAACTTGGGGGGGGGGGGGGGGTTGATTAGAACAGTCCATGAAAGGGTTATACAAAAAGTCATTTTTAATTTCGTAAGGGCGGCACCCCGGGAGGGAGCGATTTTTCTCTCTGCGGTATATAAAATTGAAAGTCGGATGCGGTTCGACACAGTTCATCAAAGTGCCATGAAACAATATTCCAGACAAGAATTCTATGAAAAAACTTTCAAAATCATACAACAGTTTACAGAGATATATTTTGTCAGTCACTCATACACCTACCCTGTTCACAAAAATTCCCCACACTGCCAGCATTACAAGACAAACAATGACCATTGACAGGATGACATAGGCTGTTGGTACAGTTGGGACTACATCTTTGTGAGCAGTTGGGGCCGTAGTACGTCTCATGGCAAGCTGTTTTAAATTATGTATTAGTGTTTAATAGGCAAACTATATTAAAATATGTTATTGATTTATTTATGATGTATTTATTTATTTATTTATTAAATGTATTTATTTAATTATTTATTTGTTTAATTATTTATTTGTTTATTTATTTATTTATTTATTTATTTATTTATTTATTTATTTATTGATATTTATTTATTTATTTATTTATTTATTTATTTATTTATTTATTTAGTTATTTATTTATTTATTTATTTATTTATTTATTTATTTATTTATTTATTTATTTATTTATTTATTTATTTATTTATTTATTTATTTAGTTATTTATTTATTTATTTATTTATTTATTTATTTTATTTATTTTATTTATTTTATTTATTTTATTTATTTTATTTATTTTATTTATTTTATTTATTTTATTTATTTTATTTATTTTATTTATTTTGTTCATTTTGTTTATTTTGTTTATTTTGTTTATTTTATTTATTTTATTTATTTTATTTATTTTATTTATTTTATTTATTTTATTTATTTTATTTATTTTATTTATTTTATTTAATTTATTCTATTTATTTTATTTATTTTATTTATTTTATTTATTTTATTCATTTTGTTTATTTTGTTTATTTTGTTTATTTCATTTATTTTATTTATTTTATTTATTTTATTTATTTTATTTATTTTATTTATTTTATTTATTTTATTTATTTTATTTATTTTATTTATTTTATTTATTTTATTTATTTTATTTATTTTATTTATTTTATTTATTTTATTTATTTTATTTATTTTATTTATTTTATTTATTTTATTTATTTTATTTATTTTATTTATTTTATTTATTTTATTTATTTTATTTATTTAATTTTTTTTTTTATTTTTTTATTTATTTTATTTCATTTATTTATTTTATTTTTTATTTTTATTTTTATTTATTTGTTAATTTTTAAAAATATTTATTTATGTACTTATTTATTAAGAGACATGTATTGATTTAAACCCAACGCACTTGATGCTTATAACAGAAAATTAAAAAAAATAACAAGAATTAATTTTATTTGCTTAATGATTTTTATATGCCTAAGCGTAAGTTTATAGGAATGTGTATGTATAAATACGTTTTGAGACGTTTATTGATACATTCGTCAAAAGCTACTTAAACCAAATACGTATTGTCGTCATACTCTACACCATAAAATACACTACCCTGTGTACAAGCCGGCGGCTGATGAGCGTCTTTACATCCTTTATCACAGTCTCCATTAAACCTGTTACAGGTGTTGTCTATACAACGGTCTTTACAGTTTTGGTTACAACTGATTCCCCAGGTCTGAGGCTCACAGGCTGCGAAACAAGGAAACTCTCCTAAAAATTCTTTGATGTTTTACATGTCTGAGAATTAATAAAAGTAAAATTATATTACTGCATATTTATTTATCTATAAATATATAAGCAATGTATGTGCGTGAGTTTGTCTTTTATGCATTACTACACCTTTTATCATATCGCCATGAAACTTTAGGAATTCGTTAAGAATGCTCCTGGGGAGGTTCTTGCAGAGGAAAAAAAATCGTAGGTTGGCGCCCCGGCAGAGCGCGATTCAATTCTTCTCTATAAATGATCTATACAAAAGTCGATTGCGATTTGACACCGTTCATCTGATCGCCATGAAACTTAGGGAGGTTGATTAGAACAGTCCATGATTTCGTAAGGGCGGCACCCCGGGAGGGAGCAATTTCTCTCCCTACGGTATATAAAAATAAAATTCGGATGCGGTTCGACACAGTTCATCAAAGTGCCATGAAACAATATTCCAGAGAAGATTTCTGTGAGAAAACTTTCAAAATCACACAGCAGTTTACAGAGATATATTTTGTCAGTCACTCATATACCTACCCTGTTCACAAAAATTCCCCACACTGCCAGCATTACAAGACAAACAATGACCATTGACAGGATGACATAGGCTGTTGGTACAGTTGGGACTACATCTTTGTGAGCAGTTGGGGCCGTAGTACGTCTCATGGCAAGCTGTTTTAAATTATGTATTAGTGTTTAATAGGCAAACTATATTAAAATATGTTATTTATTTATTTATTTATTTATTTATTTATTTATTTATTTATTTATTTATTTATTTATTTATTTATTTATTTATTTATTTATTTATTTATTTATTTATTTATTTATTTATTTATTTATTTATTTATTTATTTATTTATTTATTTATTTATTCATTTATTTATTTATTTATTTATTTATTTATTTATTTATTTATTTATTTATTTATTTATTTATTTATTTATTTATTTATTTATTTATTTATTTATTTATTTATTTATTTACTTAAGAATTTTTATATGCCTAAACGTAAGTGTATAGGCATGCGTATGCTTAAACAAGTTTTGAGACGTTTATTGATACATTCGTCTAATGGTCCTTAAACCAAATACGTATTGTCGTCATACTCTACACCATAAAATACAATACCTTGTGTACAAGCCGGCGGCTGATGAGCGTCTTTACATCCTTTATCACAGTCTCCATTAAACCTGTTACATGTGTTGTCTATACAACGATCATTACAGTTTTGGTTACAACTGATGCCCCAGGTGTGGGCCTCACAGGCTGCAAAACAAGGAAACTCTTCTATAAAATTATGTTTTACGAATTTTAGCCTGTATTGTTATTTATTTTATATGAATCTTTCAACATGGCTTTCTACTACCTAATTATAGGTTTAATTAAGGATTTTCTTTTCAAATTTAGTTTCTATGATTTACTTAGATTCAATTTTCAAAATTAACATTATTATTTTAAAGGTAAGTCTATGCTATTTTAACAAAAAATCAAATGGGGCATCAATGTTGTTCTCTGTGCCGACCTCGTTAATCTTAGATCCAATATGCATTATATCAATTACTTAGTCGATGTTTTCAAACACAAATATGTTGCCATTGTTTTTAGCTTAATATTGATAGCATAAAACAATTTTCGGTTAGCCTGCTATACAATTACATACAAATATTTCCATCGAAAAGTATTGCCGACATAAGGAAACCTGTCATTTTTTCGTACATGTATACCAGTTTAAAAGTAGCTTCATCAAACTATCTGTGATTTACATTATCTAAATTTATATGGTTATTATAAACATATATTTTACCAATGTGGTCATTACTGTCATCTAGATTCATCAAACTATCTTTGATTTACGTTTTCTAAAACTGACCGATTAATGTAAATATGTTAACACACACACACACACACACACATATATATATATATATATACATATATATATACATATATATATATATATATATATATATATATATATATATATATATATATATATATATATAAATATATATATATATATATATATATATATATATATATATATATATATATATATATATATATATATATACATATATTAATGTGTAATTTACCCTTTTGACAAGCCTCCCCATAGTACCCAGCCTTACAGCCAGAAGGACATCCTCCAGTAGCAACAAAACAAGCCTCGTCTGTAGCACAGTTACAAGTTTTCTCACATTCTAGGCCAAACTTGCCGGGATCACAGTTACAGTCTGGATAATAAACGCCTCTCTGTTAATCAACTGAATGTTTGTAGTAACCTAGTATTTAGAATTCAAGATAACAAAAGTAGGCCTACTATTTTTTTTTACACTTAAGGAAAAAGAATATAGTTAGATGGTTGTGCCATCTGAGTGATTGATTTTGGACAGGTGGAAAGAGAAATATAAATTGAGACAATGATGGGGATGGTGGAATTGTAGATATTGATGTTAGGATTGAAATTAAATGGAATGGGATGGTTAAGAAAGCTTATCAGTCTTATCAATGATAAGGACATTATGATTTTTTTCTTTGAGCTATTTAATAGAAATAATAATTTAAAAGCAACTACAGTTACTATTAACTTTAAATATCATTATTTATTGATTAGGCAATAAAAGCAAGGGTTAATACTTTTTATGGAACCTGACACTTGATTCTTCACTTTATTGCCTAATTTTGTGAAATATCAATTAACCGCTTATTTTTCAATTTTTTTTGGAAAACCCTAACGTTATCTGCTTTGACACCTTGTTATGATATATGTTTGACTAGATAAATTGGTGCGCATGAATGCTGGTGCGAAGCTAAAATATTGAACGAGTGAAAGTGTGACGCGGTACGCAAGAAAGTGACGTTTTAGTGTGAGTTCGTTGTTGCCGGGGAAGAAGCTTGGATTAGTCTTGTTCTTGTTGTGTTAGGAGGATGTTGTAATGTTGTCCAGTCTTAGTATCGTTTGTTCAAGTCGTCCGATGTCCATTTCTTATAGTGCAATAAATAGAACTAGTAACCAAGGTAATTCTGTCAAATCATTTGTATGCGTTAATGTCGTCGTGCTTCAAGATGAATTACTGAATAGCAAGATATAATAAAATGGTAGTGGTATCTGAATACTATATTGGATCAAGTAGTTCTACCCTCTCACTGCATAGCTGCGGGACACATATACAACCCAGTTATTACACACCTGTAAAACTCAGCACACATGCTGCACCTACATTAGTCATAGTAAATAATTCACTAAATAGAGGTGGACATGAGGATTACTGTGAAAAAGTTAATGGCGATTGATAATACGAAGACAGATCATAGAGAAACTGCAATTATGGTATCAATGTTTATTCTGATCTTATTAAAAAAATATATGATAGAGATCAGATAGTGCTGGATGTGGATAAACTAATTGAACAAGTTGTTTTTGGATAAAGATTACAAATTTTATTAAACATTATAGTCATTAATTAATATAATTTAATAAATAAAGACATATGGATAATAAAATACCTTACCTCCGTATATTTCGACTTCACATAATGTCAGATAAGTTCCAAATCCGTTATCATAAGTTGCAGTGACTCTTGAAGACTTGACCAAGGTTGTTGGTGTAGTTAGTGTATAAAGTGATTGGTTAACATTCGATCTGTCCTGATGCTCAGCTATCACTTTATTATGGTCGTCCAACATTTCAAGTTTGAAGTATCGAAGTCGATCTAATCGTAATATACATATCATTCAGGACGGCAGGTCATAATGTTTGGAAAACCTTAACTCCGCTGGCAATGTAAATTCGTATAATAGGGGGTACTTAGCATGTGCAATACCATAACCCATTTTCTGCTAGCGTCCCACTTATGGGACGCTTGTAAAAAATTGCTAAAATTTATTAAAAACTAGTTAAAACACAAATTATGTTTCATTGTATTTGAAAATGGTTAGACTATTGAATTTGTGTGTGTTTTGTGTAAAATTGTTAATTTAGAAAATTTTTATTGCGCCGGCTTAGCAGGACTTGTCAAAATGGCGGAAAAAAGAAAACATGCGCACAGGAAAATGCATATCTTCTAAAATATTAACATTTTAAGTGCAAAATACATTTAAAACTTGTAGCAGTACCATATTTCTATCTGATAAAAATTTAACAATAACAATTTTTTTACTACTTCGTTATATCAAGTGTACAAAAAGCGTCCCATAAGTGGAACGCTAGCAACGAATGGCCCCATGTAGATTGTTACACAAACGTTACATTTATTGGACACTAGCGAGAAACACAGATGCAAATATTTATGTTAAATGGTTATTTATGGTGAAACAATTGTTGACTTTGTTAACTGCTGACTTTGGGGTGTTAAGTAGTCTACACTACAGTGTAAAGTTCATAAATAGAAGTGAGCTCAATGTGTTTGGAATAGCTGTAGTGGCCTACTGTTTTGTGTTTACTGATTCAAAATTACAAAAAGATCTATACTACATGCATATGTATGGACTATTACTAGTCTACATGTGTACATTACGTACACGCTAGCTATTTATGCAAGACAGTTTTTTGCAACAAATATAACTAACAAATCTTACTTCTAGAACTAGACTTTGGTATACAAATAACGTATACTAAACCTATTAAACGAGCCTACAACTGCCACCCCTATTCTTGTTTTTCTTTTAGTACTAGAAATCTGCAATTAATTACAATATTTCTGAGGAAAACCCTATGCTAACCTTCTTATAAATGCATAAATTTTTTTTTAAGTACATTTCGATAATAAATTATCAAAATAATATTAATGTCACTCCAAATCGAAAATCAGCAATTTCCAAGAAATCCTAAAAAAATGTCAGTGTGCCCTGACGGTACTTATAAGTCCTCTTGTAAACATCGATCTATTACAAAGACCATTTGATAAAAATTGTATAACTAGAAGTTAAACGCATTTGCCTGACTATTGAAGATGCCATTAAAAAATATTCGGTGTTAAAAACGTGAAGAATAAGGTAAAACAAAGGGAAATCAGGAACACATGTGAGATATGTACAGAACAATTGTGAACTATCGATACAGGTAGAGATTGAAAATGGCGCCACACCAGTAATTTTCAAAAAACATCGTTCCCTCCACCTACTTGTGACTCAAGGGAGATAATACTATCATATACATCAATAATTTTTAAAATTCGTATTAAATTAAAATTAATACAGGCGCTTAATTAAAGTGGTACTTATAAGTACCGTCAGTAGATAAAGGGTTAAGTAGTAATTATAGATATTTAATTATGACCTTGAGCTACATTTTCTTATATATTTTTGTATTAAAAAATTGAAAATCTGGAAAAACTTACATTTTATTTTTAAGTTTTCAGAATTACACTTACTGAAGTATTTAATACCATTGAATACAAACTAATTTAGTACTGCTGTAAATTTACTAGCGCGTGATATTAAAATTATAACAAACCAGAATAATAACAATGGCCACGATTTAGGTGAAATGATTCAGTCATATGGGTTGGTTAACTCTCTTCATATAAGAGAGCTCAAGCTACATATAGCAGAAATGTGAATTAGCTGTGTACAGTTGTCATGCCCCAATAATATTCCCCTCCAAAGTTTCCCGATACCAGTTTTACTTTGTTAATTTTTTAAGGAGATTCCTGGTGTTAGATTGGGAGCTGTTCGCATAGTGACGTGCATACATGGATGAGAGCCATGAACACTCAATACAAGCCCCCCAGAGACGGATCCGTGCCCTAGAAATAAGATGTCTGATGTTCTAATGTACACCTGTGAAGGGGGGGGGGGGGGGAATAGCGAGGGTAACAAAAGAGAAGATGGCTGGATGACATCTGGGACTGGACCGGATCGTCTTTTGCAAATTCACTGAGGGCTGAGTTTCTTTCAGGCATCATTTCGGAGGAGAGAGGGGGCCTCTGACCCCAGAACAAAATGGAATTTATATACAAAACATACTTTTACCAATGTCCACCCGTCCCCGAAAATTTAAGTCGTCGTCCCCCCCCCCCCCCCTGAAAATTTCAAGAACCCCCCCCCCCCCCAAAAAAAAATCAATTATTTATATTTAATTATATTGCAGTTTCGATGAATAATAACAATATTTGTGATCATGTGTGTATAATTAGATGAACTAGTCACAGCTTTACTTATTTCCAAGTGTTGTTCAATTTGATGGATGCTAGATTGAAAGAAAACTAGACTTTTGAACATAATTTCTGCATTTTAGACCATGGTATGGCTAACCCAATTGATCATTATCAGTACTTTTAGCTGTCCTAAACAATGTAATCATTGGTCTAACAATACAGAATCAGTATACAGCTTAATTTTCGCGTGATGAGCCATATTTCGTGATAAATGATTTTATTTTTCAATAAATGTACGTGGGGCCGTTCGTTGCTAGCGTCCCATTTATGTGACGGTTTTTAAAAAATCGATATTTTAAAAAGTATTGATTTTAAAAAAATGCATAGTCATTCCTTTATTCAGTGCCCAAAAGCTAAACCATATCAAAAAATTATAAAAATTTGAGACCTTGGGATAATATGGGATAAACATCGTATCGGCAATGTTTCGAATATTTAACTTTTATAAGCATTTTTAAGCCACTCATCATAAATTGTGAAAAATAAAAAGAGCTGTAGGCGTAGATTTTAATGAAAGTATAAATTGTTCCAGGAATCTAGAAATTACTTCCTATTTAAATCCATTCTGCCATGGGTATAATTACAGTGGTACCTTGAGCTTTTGAATTAAATTCGTTCCGTAAAATTGCTCAAAATATTTAATGAAACACATACCAAGGGTTACCAGTCGGGAAAGATAATTTATACCTAATTTGTTTGCGGCCCAAGTGGAAACGGAACTGTTGATGACATTTATTTTGCTCTTTGGTGAGCAATGTTTTCCCTTGTTCCCCATGTCACCTGATCTCTGTGACGCTGGGTAGTTGCGACTGTGTCGACGGCATTAAAACGGATGCGGATGACCAGGACAGTTCTAATATAAAATATATTGTTTGTTTACATTTGTTTTAGGGCTATATGGACTTGTCATTGGACTTGTATTAGGACTTGTACTTGTAATTGCAATTGTACTTTCTGTGCAATGCTTGGGTATGCAATGAAAAGGATCCACACGCAAGCAGCGGCGTTGGCTTTGTTATCTCTCAAGGTCAGCGCATAATTTTTTAGAACTTAAAGCAAAAGTCTGGTTTTATGTTTAACTCTTTGCGTCACTGTAGTGCACTTTCTCCTTACACTCTTAATGCTACATTTTTAAAAAATGCTACTGTCGGTTATATTTCGTGGGATTTTCTATTCACTGGTCTTTTCCCTTTTCGTTACGCTGTACTCACTTCCATATACCGGCTATAACAAAACCTCTCAAAGAAATTTATTTCTTCCTTCTTTTCAGAATGTTGCTAGAATGAGTTAGACAAGTTATCTTCGTTGCATAAAAAGTAACTTAATCATAAAAAACACCCATCTAATTATATTCACTATTCATAACAGTCTTTAAAATATTTTAATACCTGCGTTGACATCCCATCTGTTGTAAAGAACGAATCTGTTAATGTAGTATGCCCTAGACAACGTAATCTTCCAAAACGGAGCTCTAATCCTCTCACTTTCTGCTGTGTGCGTACAGGAATTGTGTGTAAAGACGCCATCAATGTCACCATCTACAGCCAACGCGGAAACAAATGGTGTGCCATTTACTTTATATGTTGAAGATTGAGCTGTAGACTGATTAAATGCAAGGTTGCGACCTGAAGAACCAAAATAAATAACTCGGTATAGAATTCATTTTTAATTAGCTAGCTATATGCTTGTTTTTTTGTTTCGCTGTTTTATTGTTGTTTTGATTATTAATTATTGTATTTGACTGTATAATATTTAACCCAAAGAAAGTAGTATATAATGAAATTATACGATGTACATATTTATAGAGTCGACACAAAAATTCATAAAAAACGATTTAATAACAAGCTTTTATGTTATAATTCACCAAAAAGTAGAAAATTAACTACACACTACTATTTAATATCTATAAAGAAAAGCGTGGGTCACTTTATTATCTTTTGGATATCTTTACTAATATTTAGGAAGAGAACCACACGACAGAAGAAGTAAGTTTTAAAAAAGCTTGTAATAATAATAAGTATTAAATGATGAAGTGATTGAAATATACCAACATCATACCTCTCTTCCCACAACTGGAGACTGGGATAATAGGTACATTTTTCAAAATTGTTACATTTCATTATTCAGATACAGTAAATAAACGGTTTCCGTTACTTTCGGGCTTTTTCATTTTTTTAACGAATACAAGGGTACATGGTTAAACCAATCTATCATTTTGTGACCATAAAAATACATATTGCTCTAGCACTCTTCTCTATGGTTCTAGAAATGTCTCGTATTATAAACAAAAACCCACTAAGTTCCATAAGCAACATTAGGTTTTAGAAATTAAAATACTTTATACAATACACGTTTTTATAGAGTTTTATTTTTGTAATAATTCGCATTGATTTATAAGAAAATAATTACCTATTGTTTTTGTTTGTTTTATTTTTCGATGATTCTATTCGGACGAAAGTTTCAATTTATTTGTTTCTAATTTACTTGCTTTTCTTGATTTAATCAAATGTTTACAAATATATATTATAG